GTGGTCTTTTCACCAAAAAACAAACAAACAGATGAAATAATTAATAACCAAGCAATAAATCTAATTCCTAATCTAATATTCTTTCTTGGTATTTCGCATTTGTGAATTGACTACTTGGAGCATGGTAAAATGGAGATGACATGAGGCAAGGTACAATTTGGAGTTCAAAGTTTTCCAGAGAATTAAAATCGGGGGCACAATCAGAGTTTCTTTGTGTTATTGTGAACTTAAGAGGGGTTGGGGGGGGATATAGTGAGCTCCTGGAGAGAATACTAAATAGATCCACTTTGATTAGCATAAGGGGCAAGTGCTTTTGCCATTTCCTCTCATGTCCTGAAGCACTTTGGAGGATGTGCTCAGCGGTGAGTCTGTCTTTGTTGGTGTGGGGACTCATCGAATATTTGCAGCATGTAAAATTGAGGTGAATGTTGCTATTGTTGCCAGTCCTTTCTAGACACTTTCAAAAGGTAATGCGGCTTGATTGTGCAGTAGTCTGGTCTGACAAGATAAAAGCCAAGCGGGCTGCATCTAAATAATGGAATGCTACAGCAGATGCACGTATGCCGTGTTTGTGTTGAGAATCTAATTTCGTGCTCAATATTACAACAATGTTGGTAGGTGCTTTGAAAAATAAAAAACATTCAAAAGTAATTGTGGTTTGCAACTGAAATGCATTCGCTGCAACTTCACTTTTGATGTGGTTTGGGTCATGTCCTGCTCTTATTGGACAAAGTGATGAGGAACATGAAACTGTCAACACTTTAATTATAAAATACAGTTCTATCAGTAGGAGCATCTCTCGTGTATTTATGTTGTTGTTTATGTCTAAAGAATAGTTCTGATTGTAACATCATACAAAATGATATTTATAGACAAAAAAAAAAAAAAAAGACAAAGCCAATGCCAATGGTGCGTGTAATATAAAATTAGCGTCTTGCCGCCATCTTGTGGGACCTACGGGCAATTTTAAACTTTATTCCGGTGATCCTCAATCACCCGAATTTTGACGATTCCTCGAGGAAGACGTTGGGATTTTGACCTGTTTTAGTGCCCTTTCCATACCCCCGCCCACTCCTTCCTGCTCAGAAAGGTGCCAAAAATGCAAATGAGACTGTTGATTTTGGAAAAGTAACAAGTTTTTGGAAAGAATAACTCATCGCTATTGAGGATGACGATGAAAACAGAATTTATATTGCAAGAGTGGGGTGACTTTTGTCAGCGATTCTCAAAAGTTTTCACAGCACGTACCACCTCATTAAATTCTTGCCTCTCCAAGTGCCACCATAATGACCAGCATGGCATTACAATAGCGCAGTGTGCCACTTGATCATCAAAAACGACACAGAGGCGTATATTCCTTAAAATCATATTCAATATTATTGGAAGCCACTGTAATATTACATGCGAATACTCCACTTCCTATAGTAAAATGACATTTAAAAAAAACCCTACATACATATTCAACTCTTAATAGTGTTACAAATGCGTCCGATGAATCAAATGTTTATGTACTTTGAGTTGCACTGCATTATATTTGAACAAAACAAGTAGCCCGGAAGCAGTGAAGCCACAACTCTATTTTCATCCGTGTGTTTCCATAGCCCATTGTTCTCTCAAATAAAGACCTCCTACCTCGCCCCCTCATTGAAGACGGTATCAAGTGAGATTATGTGACTTTGTAAGTCATCAAGGCGCCGTCTTGCGATATTGATCCCTTATACCGGGTGAAATGGGATGATCACTGCAGAAGTAATTATAAAGGGCCTCAACCCTGATAGTTTATCAACCCGATCGTGAAAAGACACTAGTAGGCAGATGGGGAATATCTCTCCGTTTGTCAGTGGCCCACACCATAAAAGTCGTCGGTCATTGCTCCCGGTAGAACGATAAGCAGCTTATGCCAAATTGGAGAAGGACTGATTACATCCCCGAGGAGATATGTGATGAAGCGCCGTGCTCTGATTGAGATGTCTACTTCGTTGTCAAAGCCATTCTCGATCACTGCCAAGAGGTAGAGGAGATGCTTTGTAGGGAGCGGCCCAGGAAAAAAAAAACTTTGTTACCGTCTGAAGAAAACCTTTTTCACGCTGCTTTATGAGTGCTTATGTTCCGTATTCGTCAAGGTGTGAACATATCACGAACCACAAGTTATTTTGTTGTAATAATACAAGTGTTCCATTTGCGGGAATCCTTTGACATAGCCTTAAAAGTGGAACAAGAAACACATACAGCTTGCTTTTCGGAAATGTATTTGTCCTGCATTCATTTTTGTGAATTCCATTTTGGACTGCAGAATTGTAGAGTTGATTTTATATTCACACATTTTTTTTCCATCCATGCAAGCCAAAGGTCTTTTGCTGTGCCCCTAACGATCCCGGAAACCATCTTGACCAACAGTGAATTGGTCATCCTCGAACCTTCTTAATATTCTATCGGCACCATCTTGAAGCAGCAGGTGCAACGTTATGTGATCTTTCTCCTCGGGCAGGGAGTAAAAACAAATTGCCTCAGGGCACTTGAAAAGAAGGCATCAATTAAACAAGAACATATTCTCTTGGCATTTATAGCCATGCTTCAATACGACGGTTTAGCCTCACAGCAAAATATGACCACAGGGTGTGAGGTGAAACGCATCTCGGGAGATGGCACAAATTAATCAGGCTATTGAAATTGTTTTTTCATTCTACTTTTAGACTCTTCTCTGTAAACATTGACCAAACTGTCAGTCTCGATTACATTATCAAGTTTTGGCAATTAAAATACATTTTCGTTTTGTAAAATTACCCCATTGGCACCAAGATGCCACCAGGTGGCGATAGAGAAATACGCTACGGTACACCCGAGCACAAAAAACATCTTAATAAGTGAATTTTTAATGGACTGCTGGCGGGTTTGGACATCTCGTGTGTTTTGCAGCTCGACGCACAGGCGGGAAAGTCACGCTTCAACTCAAGTGTTGAAACACGGTTGGTTCGTGGGAGGTGAAAGATTGTTGTCGACTGTAGTTTTATCATCGACATTTCTATTATTATTCAACACGATGTCTTTTAGATTTAGAACACAATCATGACCCACCACGCCAACAGGACTGCAAACACAGATGCAGTGAAATCCGATTCTCCATTGACATAATGCAATGCAAAAGCCCGAAGACATGTTACGCCTGCTGCCTTAACTGCGGAGCAGATTTTCTCTCTGCCCACCTACGTAAAGAACCCCGAGCTGATCATCAATTCACCATGGCCATATGTGCCTTTTGGCATTTCTTCCACAAAAGCCACTTGAGGATAGGAAAACATAATGCAGACATAATCAGAGCTTCCGAATGTTTGGGAAATGTGTAGCGAGCGGCCTCTCGGCTCAGTGAACAGGCGAGGCATGTTGGGTTGGGTGTTTCACTTTATTTGCATCCTGTGCAGTTATCAACGCTCTGAAAACTAAGTAGGAAGGAATACATCAGTTCCAAGATCGGGACCATGTACAGTGAAGCGTACACTCTCTTTTTATGACCACAAAGAAAATAACCTTGTTGTTTCGCTTTCGAAAGGAGCTCAAGATTCAAGATTTCAGCTATGGTTCTTCTTTCTGTAGCTTCGGTCTGTCAAGGGCATCGTCTAGAGATTCACTCCAGAATATAGACAGTTGTTTGGACATGGAAATTGTTTTGAGATTCAGCTTTAAGGACTTATTTTTTTTTCCCCCTGCCTTGTGTCCTGAACCATCTGAACAAGTTTCTCCGAAAAGACGGATCCTATATGTGACGGTGGGTTTGGTAATAAAGTTTTGTGACATGTTTGTTGATTGCCTAGTCATTTACAAAATTTTAAAATATGTGTCTTTTTACGTAACTTGACGCCTATTGGCTTGTTATGCAAAAACTCTCGCGTACAATTGGGATAACTTTCACAATGTGTAAATGGAGTGTATAACATTTGTTCAGTAAACGCAGCTTGCTTGCTTGGTTCGAGACGTGAAACGTGCCTGCCAGCACCACTGAGGCTCACGAATGAGCACATTACATCGTATTTTGTTGTGGTGTGCACAAAAAAAAAAAGCGAGTATAACTCAATAGTCACCGCCGCAGGCATCCACGAGCAGGCTTCCCGTGGCCTTGTAAGCAGCTCTGCTGTGAAGGACGCAAATGCTATAGAAGTACACAACTGCCTGTGGACAGAAGTGATTTTATAGTCAACAACACAAGCAGGGAGCAAAACAGCTTCCCAGCAGTTGTGGGCTAAGATGGTCGAACGTCCTCTTTACCCCGGGTGTGTCGCCTTTTTCGAAGCTTCAAAATGTGTCTTTTACTGTCAAGCGGGAGTGACTGAAAAGCGACTTTTCAAGGAGCTGACCATCCGCCATCGACCCGTTACCGCACATGCACGCACCCACACGCTCATGTCATGATGAGGAAGAGCATAGCTCCTTCTGACTACATTTTTTTTTCCCACCTCCTAAGAACATGAATAGATCCGTTACCTAAATTCATTTTAATATTGTCATTTGTAATCTGGTTTTGGTATTGTCTTGCGAAAGTCCATTCTCTGCCTGCTGCTCAGATTGGCTCTTTGACAGTGATTTTTTTTAAATTCATTTTTTTAACCTGTGCTACTTTGTGTGAGTGTAGTCATAATGCTTGCTACCAGCCATGAGCAACTGTTTACGAGCTATGCGCAACTCGTTTGCCATGACTGCAAATCAAGAAATAAATCTTGGTGAAACACCTCCCTCTTGTGTTCATATTTGAAACTGCATCCATAAGGCTGGAGGGTCGCTGTTTCTGAATCACTTGCGCCTTACGCTTTTCCTAAAACTCTTTAGCATTGACTTCACAATTCAGTATCGAAGATTATAGAGGAAGATATTAACATTTTAAAATATGCTGGTCAGTCATAGTTTGGAGATACGAAAACAAGACCTCTCCAAACACAAATGTGAACTCAAGACGTTGAATCCCGCTAAGGAAAACCCGTTAACATAACTTGAGTCATTAACATTGTGTACAATAGGTTTGTGGATATTTGTATTCCGTTACAGTATTACAGTACATTCATTCACGTAAAACAGTGGTCTCCAAACACTGAGAGGTACTTTGACATGAATCAATCAATAACTATTTATTACAGAGCATTTGATGTTGTGTAGTTTATGTAAGAGTTTGAGGTAATTTGTACACAAAAAAAATTTAAGATGCATATCCTGTTAAAAAAAAAAACAGTTCCATAATTAGCTGCAGTTGAGTTTCTTACAAGCCATGATTATTTCCAAAAAGCGGATTCTCTTCACACAGCACCACAAAACTTGCAAAGAGCAGAAATGAGCAACGTGTGTGTGTGTGTGTGTGTGTGTTTCAAGTTCATGCAAGAGTTCTTCAGGAGGTCCATCGCCACCAGGCCACTTTCATACGATCCCAGACGGCACCTAAGGAGTCAAAGGCCGGGCGGACATCCAGGATGGAGAACTGGTACGTTTCTTTGTCGATTTCTCCGTCATAATAGTCGATGACGTAGCGCACCTCTTTTCCGCAGCGGTCGACGATCCAGTCATGACGGTCAAAGGGCAGCTCGTAGCTGTGAGAGAGAGAGAGATGAGGCAAATGAGGCATTCCATTTTTTTGGTTTGTTTTTGGTAGCGCTCAAGTGTTGTTTCTGACAAAATGAATCCATTGTTTGTATGATTATTCCAGAAGAGCAGAGCAGAAAAAAGTAAATGCTGCTCTTGTGTTTGATCTCACTAGATGCTGCTACTCTACTTTGGATCGAAGAAACAAAATAAAGTAAAACACAAATATCTGGTAGGCATCCATATTCACATCACGGTAAAGCTCAGCTTACCCCATCCAATGGCGGAAGCGAGCCCTCGGCGAGTACTCTTTGGCTTTACCGCCGAACCGCTTCAACATTGGACCACATGGGCATTCGCTGCAGGAAGATGTTGCTGTTAACTGATGTAGCTAAAATGTGGCCAGGGGGATGGTTTGTTGCCCATCTACTCACCCTGCATGCAGCGCCTCCCACTTCAGGATCTCCTGCCAGGCTTGTTCATTGTTCTTGTTGTGGATTTTGATGATGTTGCCCATGTCGGCAGCAGCGAGGTCATCTTCGCGCCAGCGCCACCTGGGTGCACAATAACACAAAACTGTCTGCTGTTCGACGATGCTGCTCTATCCACTGGTTTCATTCAGTGCAAAGCTAAAAACGTGAGAGCTGATGTTCACCTCGAAAAATACATCATGAGCTATAACCACTACTGTATAGAGGAGGAACATCTCCGCTTCACTAACCCCTTCCTCAGCATGGCGTTCCAGAACATCTGTTCGGATGGGTACACCCAGTGCTTTTCGGTGCCATGGCGGGGAATCGTCGATTCTTCTCTGGCGAGGGATAACTTGAAGGGTTGGTCTGGGGCCGGCGTTTGGTTTGGAGGAGGCATCTAAGAACATGGGTCGTGACAGAAATGTTACGAAACAATCCTATTGAGGCTTAAAACTGCAATTAACCCTTTCCTGAACCCTGTAACCTGATAACGTCATAAACTGTCCACTGTAGTGACCGCTGTTCATTGTTTTGAATATATAACATTTCATTGCCTTTTCAACAAACAGAAACAGCATCGAGTATTTCTTGTACCATATTTGCTGGGTCGATGTCATTATTGCCAGCTGCAGCTTTCATGGGACACTCCACAAATTCATAGGCCCGATCCTGGTGAACTGGGCCGGCTTCGGCCTTGTGCATCGGACACTCCGAAGGCGGAGACACTGCAACAAGACCGGAGCACCAGAGAAGAAGGAATGAGCGATTTGACTTCACAAAACAATGTAGACATTAAGGAACTTAATGCATATGGGACTCGACCTATCAACGCTATACCGACCTATAACTGGCTTAGCTTGATGCATGGGACACTCTGACGGGGGGGAGACTACTTTTAAGAAACATAAGAGATACACAAATTAGATAATACCACAGTTTCCATGCTATTACATTATGCATCATCACCTTTAACAGACTGATTTTCTTTGTGCATAGGACAGCCTTGAGGAGGGGTAGCAACCATTGCCTCTGCTTGAACTGTGGGAGCAGCAGGTGTTGAAGTCGAGGCCCCCATCCCGCCTGATCTGATGTGGCAACAAACACACACACAAAGATGAGAATACGCTGTACTATAATGCGGAATGTTAATACCATGTTTCACATTTCGGACATAGCAAGACTTCCGTGTTAGTTAAAAAAAATACTGCAAGCTTAAAATCAACCCTCATACAAGGACCTGCAAGTATTAATACTTCATCATTCCCACTGACCGGTCTCAGTTTACGTCACAACCAAAATCTGACGGCAAATAAAACACATTGTGTAACCTCAAGAGTATTAATTACCACGCACGCATGTGCATCATAATTATCCGCGTATGACATAAAAACAATGATAATTATGTGATATGATACATGGACATTTATTTTTTAAAACGCACAATAACGTCATTGCTAACAATTAGCACTTTAGGAGCGCCACTTGAAATTCTAAACAAACATACTTGCGTTGTATTGGCAAATTCAATACAGTGATAAATCAATCAAATAGCTTATATAGATGCTTACAAGTACAGACAAGCTAGCAGCACTGCTAATATTAACAGAAGTTCCGCACAAAAATCGATACGCCCGGTGAAAAATACACAGTGGACAAAAGATGTCTTGAGGGGTTACTTACATATAACGTGGAGCGTGATAACAAAAGATCAAAACAAGCACCGAGTGAAGTACTTCTGTCCACGTTCTATTCCAATGTCAACGAGTCAAGGGGCTCGCGACTGGGTTATGGAACGTCTGTGAGTACGTATTGAATGACGTCATGACGCAGAAAGGCGTACCCATCCTCTTCTTCTTCATTTTATGTGATTCTCATACAGGGTTTAGGTACATTACCGCCACCCTCTGTTGGAGAATAAAACTTGCATTGTTGATTGGAGTTACATCGACAGATATATTTATTTTAATTTGTGAAATCACTTTCCTGATCCTTTTGATGTTGCATTCACTTGAAAAAAATATCTCCGTTTAGTACGTTATTTTTTGGCTTTTATATGTTTTGAGCTTTTTTTTATGTAAAAACGTTGAATGAAATTATCACACTTTTTTTTAAAAATTTTGAATTGTAAATTCATTTGAACAGATGCAATTTGTTTTTTTTATTTAAAATGCCTGAACGTATTCAAAAATAAGTACATATATTTTATTTAGTCTTTTTAAACAAATATCTAAATACAGAGGAAGAATAAAAGAATACATGTTCCACCGGTGATATCCTGCTGCATTTATATTGAGTTTTGCTCGCACAATAACGTCATTGCTAACAATTAGCACTTTAGGAGCGCCACTTGAAATTCTAAACAAACATACTTGCGTTGTATTGGCAAATTCAATACAGTGATAAATCAATCAAATAGCTTATATAGATGCTTACAAGTACAGACAAGCTAGCAGCACTGCTAATATTAACAGAAGTTCCTAACAAAAATCGGTACGCCCAGTGAAAAATACACAATGGGCAAAAGATGTCTCGAGGGGTTACTTACATATAACGTGGAGCGTGATAACAAAAGATCAAAACAAGCACGGAGTGAAGTACTTCTGCCCACGTTCTATTCCAATGTCAACGAGTCAAAGGCTCGCGACTGGGTTATGGAACTCTGTGAGTACGTATTGAATGACGTCATGACGCAGAAAGGCGTACCCATCCTCTTCTTCTTCATTTTATGTGATTCTCATACAGGGTTTAGGTACATTACCGCCACCCTCTGTTGGAGAATAAAACTTGCATTGTTGATTGGAGTTACATCGACAGATATATTTATTTTAATTTGTGAAATCACTTTCCTGATCCTTTTGATGTTGCATTCACTTGAAAAAAATATCTCCGTTTAGTACGTTATTTTTTGGCTTTTATATGTTTTGAACTTTTTTTTATGTAAAAACGTTGAATGAAATTATCACACTTTTTTTTAAAAATTTTGAATTGTAAATTCATTTGAACAGATGCAATTTGTTTTTTTTATTTAAAATGCCTGAACGTATTCAAAAATAAGTACATATATTTTATTTAGTCTTTTTAAACAAATATCTAAATACAGAGGAAGAATAAAAGAATACATGTTCCACCGGTGATATCCTGCTGCATTTATATTGAGTTTTGCTCTCGACTTTGCCATGGATCAAGTTATCTTAATGCGCAAGACACAACTGCTTTTTGAACGTGCTCCTTCTGACAGGCGAGGGTCACACTTTGGCGAGTTCTGTTTGAAAGCAAGGGCGAATGAATCTTGCGCTGTGTTGTGCCATCTACAGTCATTTAGAGCAGTGTCGTTTCAGTGTCTGGCTGTCATGACAACAGATCACATCCAACCCAAGAGAAAAACACATGGAGCAAAGCGAAACAAGGTGGTTGTCCACATGTCGCACACTGCCTCATTTAAAATGTGTCCCAGCTGTTTTGTCCAGTATGGCAATGCAGTATTTGGTTCAACGTAGTAACAAGTCACAGAGCTGCTAACCATGGTCTCAAAAGCCTTTTTTCCCCTCCATGGCTATTTTTCACAGATGATGCAGGGCGTCATATTGAGCACATTATTTAGCCCCAATTTACAGGCTGCTTGCTACTTTTGTTTTTAATTTCAGCTGAGTTGCCTGATGATACCTTACTCGCAAAGTTGCACTGCAGTATGATTGCCTCAACGACTGAAACGCTACACAAGCATTCAGGGGAAAAAAAAATTGCAGCGCATTGGTATTTTGTAGTGATATTGTGACAATAATTTCAAAATAAATGTCGCACACTGCCTCATTTAAAATGTGTCCCAGCTGTTTTGTCCAGTATGGCAATGCAGTATTTGGTTCAACGTAGTAACAAGTCACAGAGCTGCTAACCATGGTCTCAAAAGCCTTTTTTCCCCTCCATGGCTATTTTTCACAGATGATGCAGGGCGTCATATTGAGCACATTATTTAGCCACAACTTACAGGCTGCTTGCTACTTTTGTTTTTAATTCCAACTGAGTTGCCTGATGATACCTTACTAGCGAAGTTGCACTGCAGCATGATTGCCTCAACGACTGCAACTCTACACAATCATTCAGGGAAAAAAATAAAATAAAAATAGCAGCGCATTGTTATTTTGTATTGATATTGTGACAGTAATTTCAAAATATTCAATACAAACACAGGAATACAAAATAAGAACACTCACAAGCAGCTGCAGGTAGCCGAAATCACATGCAGACGGTTACCAACTTCATTACTAACATCACTCATTGGGACATGTATTTTTCTTTCTTAGAAACAAAATCAATAAAATGATGCTCCCGATATACTGCGCATCCAAGATAAGGGGCATATATTGAAATAAGAGCCAATTATATAATTCTGATTCAATAATTGGAATGTCTTCACCAAAAGCGATACAACGTTCTATTAAGTTTTACCTACAGGCTATATCAATGTTCCCGTGAGAACGTACTTTTATGCCGTTTGTGGTTTGGTCCACATATGGCCTCAAGGTGCACTCCACCCCTACAGCCAAACTCCCCACACAAGAAATACTCCCCCCCCCCAACCACCATTAAAAAGTACCCAGGCATACAAATAAAATTCTATTCACAGCCTAAACATCATCAGAAGCACTGACTTACATTTAGAACGCTATTCCTAATCTTGCAGTATTTCTGTTGGCTGAAGATTTATTTTTTTTGTGTGTGTGTCCAATCAGATTTCAGGCTTTGTGTGCATCACTTGTCTTTTGTGCTTGGTTCGTAATACAAATGAAGTGCCATATGTTAACTTGAACAATTTTATAATGTCACAGAGGTAGACGTTTATCAGCAAGTGCACAATTTAGCCTCCCACCGGCATGCTAAAGTAGCCCTCCGAGTGAGGACAACAGAGGATGGAGATGGAATAAATGCACACACGACTTTCCACAGCCGTCTGCATTGTTATAAAAGCAGCATGTTACGTCGGCGAGCCCTTCTCAAGTCTGTGGCTCGTACCATTTGTTTTTATTCTCCATTCACAAACTAGTGGCGTGACGTTCTGACCCACTCGTGTCAACCCAATCTCAACCCAAACACTTGGAAATGAAGTTAACAGCCCCACGCTAAAAGCAAACCATATGCTCCTTTTTGTCATCGATCTTACTTGACACTCCGGCACTGACAGAGGCTCCTCTTTGTCAGTGTGCTGTCTTGCCGCCTCTCTTGTTGTGCGGCAGCAAAAAGTAAGACAGCTATGCGAAGTGATTGTGTGAGTGTGTGTAAACCGTGCAGCTCCAGACATATCAACACGACTGTATAGCTAGTGCGAACATGACAGCTGTTTGCTTTGGTAAATGCAGGTTTTCCATTTACCTGTCTTGGCATTCGGACTTGACTGTGTAGAGTTTTTTTCCCCCCCCCAACACATTCTGACAGATTTTGAAAGGCCATTAATTGCTGCCTGTGGAACATAAACAGAAAGTTGCTGCAATGTCGGAATGGCAACCCCGCGCACTGACATGTCAGATGCAGCGTCTGTCATGAAAAGCTTGTGAGGAAGGTTTTAAGCAAGCCACAACGAGACAAGATGCCACTAAGATGTAAAAAAAAAAAAAAAGGACTTTGAGCTGATGATCCCTTGCGAAAAATTTCAAAGATGTAGCCGAAATCAAAACAGGGCCTAGTATGTAGTTATTTTTGTAATATCTCATGAGTGGATTCAGCAACAGGCCTGATGGGGAAAAAAAAAAACCCAAAAAAAACAACAACAACAACACTGAATCGTTGATGTTGTCTAACCACATCTGCTAGGACAATGAACCTTTATGTTCAATCTGCGGGTCAGAAAAGGAGTGATGGTGCAACTAGCTTCTGGGTTTGCATTGTACATTCAAGCGCAAACAACAGAGTCTCTCTTCAACAGTTTTTTTTTTTCGCCCCTTGATTGTAGTTGGAGGGATGGTGACGCAGGCATGTGTTTACTGAAGCTATATTTAATAAATTTGGAGGGAAAAAAAACTGGCGACAGACAAAAGACAAAAGCCTATGTTTTAAATCAATCAGTCCCACATAGATTTGTGATATCTTTATAACGGCGTGAACGTCTTTTTTTTCCAATTCTTTTCTTGACATGATGTCGTCTCCTCACATGGAGCCAATGCGCTGACTCCAGCCCTTGACATCCTCCTCGGGCTGACCTTTGACCCATTACAAAAGGGGGCGTCTCATTGGACACAGATTTCCCTGCTGCTAAATTCTATGTGGCACAAAAAGCCCCCCGGCTCAGCCGACACGGGTATTAACGGGGACAATGAGGCGACACACTTGGAAACTCATGACCCCCCCCTCCCCGCCCTTGCCACTCCCCCCCACCTCACTCTCCCTGTCAAATGTTTTGTTCTGTTCATTCCACTCTCATGATATCGGGATTATCTGAATGTTTGAAGTTTTATTTCAGAAAGCACACAAAGGGTGCTCAAAATCACAGGTATAAAATTCACATGTATCGCTGGGGGGGGGCGGGGGGGGGTCACTGCAACACATCATCTTGCCTTCTAATGTAAATAAAGTCCCTCTATCTTTCTTGGTTTTAGTTTTGGAAGATAATGTGTACGCTAATTGCAAATTTCCTTCACTTAAAAAAATGTAGCTAGAAAACTTTACGGGCATCTCTGATGAAAACATTTCGGGGGGAAGAAAACACGTTAACCGATGTTCCAAAAATTATTATCGATTCATTTGTTAAGTCAAGCAGCTGATTCATTGATTAATCATTGCACCACTACTGTGCATGTTTGATTTTATACGTCATTTTCAGGAAG